CCCTCGGCCCTTAAAGGGGAAAGGTTGCCTACCCCTGGCATTGAGTGTCCAACACCTGTGTCATCACACTTTTCCAACTTTTAACATTGCTTGCTATTTTTTAAAAAACAAAACACAAACTAGGTGAAAAAAAACCCACAAACATTTAAACTGAGCTTCCCTGAGCTAGTGCCTTCCATAAGTGCTGAAAAATAATGGGTCCGGAGAAGGGGCATTGTATTTCAACACATCTGGAGGTCACTAGCTTGCATAGTGACCTCCAGATGTCAACAGCATAGTTTAGAGACTTTTTAAAAGAGTAAAGAGTAAAGAAGGCAAGCAGATGCTCCCAGAAGAGTCAGTGGGGCTGACAACTTAACCAGACTTTGAATGGCTGATATGTCTGTCTGTCATCTTCATAGTGAAGATAGGAGGAAGCCATAAGAAAGATAAAAAAAGTCATATTGGATCCGATTAAAGGCCTCTCTAGTCCAGCATCTTGCTTTTCACAGATTTCTGGGAAGCATGAAGCCCATGACTTACCCCATAGTTGTGAAAATCTCTTCCATTTCTAGTTTTAAAGCTATGTTTGTATGCACCCTTTGCAGCTCACCCCTCACACTGTGACAACTGCCTATCCTAAACCGGCGTTGGCATTAGCACCATTTTCAGAAGCATCCAAGGAGCAGAAAGTTAGAGTGTCCCCCGCTCTAGGTCTCCCAACATCCTCTTGACCTCATTCTCCACGCGCATGAACTTGGCCTTCTTCCAAGGGTTGGCGGTCTGGCGGCGGCTGCATTGCAAGTCTTCCAGGAACAGACCCAGGTGCTGCCGTACCCGGTCCCGGTCCCAGATGGGCAGGTTCTTCTGGACCACGTTCAGGATGGTGGCCCAGTAGTCCGACACGTCGGCCCCCATGGTCAGGAAGATGAGCACCCGGATGCTGTTCTGGTCTTTTCGCATCTCGTGCAGGGCTTGCTTCCCTTCCTCGCTGATCTCATTGAAGTACAAGCTGGATGGAGGCAGCGAGAGACAGGGAAGAAGGAACAAGAAAGTGTTAGGAGAATTTCAAGGCCTTTGGGGCCAGTAAGAAAAGAAGGGTAGAGCCTAAAGGCACTAGATCCTGTCTGATCTCGGAAGCTAAGCAGGGTCAGCCTGCCAATACTGTAATTATAATTATACAGTGGGCCCTTGTTATCTGCTGGGGATTGGTTCCAGGACCTCCCATGGATAGATAGATAGATAGATAGATATTTTATTTGTATCCCGCTTTTCTATTATAATAGCAATCAAGGCGGCTTTCATGTTAAAACAAACCAATACAATACATAATAATAATACATGATAATATATCTTACCCCCCATTAAGAAAGAATTAAACTTAGCACAGTTTAAAAATATAGTCAGTTAAAATATATTAATAGCAAATGGTCTATTGGGCAGAGAGGCAACATAATACAAATGTAAGGGTTTTGCTTATAGTCAAGGAATTCTATTCAGGAAAGGCCTGGATAACAAAATGCTCAAGTCTCATTCAATATGATGGCCTAATA